AAACATACACACACTCTAGATTAGTCTAACCATCTCACTTTGAATTATTTAGATTACAATTCTAACATTCTCATTAGAATGTTCAAGCCCTGAAAAGCTGCATTGCAATATGACATCATCTTTTATGTAAATTTGTGGAAATAATTGCAAACATCATCAATTAACCCATTGCCGATGGGCATGCCATGCCATGCCCACTGGGAGTTTACTTATTTGATTGTTTTACACATAGATGGCTACGCTTGTACTAAGCCACCAATGAGCCAATTACGAGTACTGCTTGTCTTGCCCTTTTACTTTTACCTTTTCAAAATTATTTTACGTTATCTTATTTTGTTATTACTAATGTTTATAACATTATAGTAATTAAAATGTTTATAATAAAAAAAACACCATCAATATTCATAGCACTAGTAAAAAATACATTTCCCCGGCAATTCAAGGTAGGTTAAATCAAATAAGGCAGAGCCATCTATGTGTAGAGGCATTTCACAAAAAAATATTAAAAAATGAGCACAGCATTTTTGCGATTTTTATTAATTTTCCCTGGTGGCAATGGGTTAAGATGCACTGATTTTACAAGTGGAAGTTTACAAGTTAATCATACTTCAAGAGTATGATTAACTCTAGAAACTCATTAGAAATAGCTTGCACAATCATCAATAGTTACATATATACACATAAGGCCTGTATTTTTCAATGGTTATCTATTTCTGAAAAGAATATCAAATGATCAAAATGAAAGATGGTTCTTAGACATCAATACAGTTAAATTCATAGCTTCATATTCTAACTGCATTAGTTCTACAGCCTACTTACAACTGCAAGAAATTAATAAATCTATTTAGATATTTCTTTTTCAAGTTACCTAGGAGAGCTCTATGATATAGAAAGGGCAATATTCCTGCTTGTCATATTTTACAAAGACCTTTGGGGAATTTACATTATCTACTGTAGTGTCATAAAGTTCCCCTGTGGTTGGATTCTTTGGGGGCCTTTTCATTGAAGGATCCCCTTTAGCTATCTGTCCAATAATAACTTCGGCTACCATGAGAAATCGGTGTCCAAAAGCATCAGGGGTGCTATAACCATGGGCACAGGCAGCGCTGAAAATAGATTGAAACAATCAAAATGTATAACAGTCTGGTATCAAAGAACTTCATAGAATTCACAGTGTAAGCAATTCATTGTCAATATGGAATGGCTGTACATCACATGAAATTCTAACATTTTAGCAAATGGAAAAAAAGGGCATCAAATTACTAATAAAATAAGACAAGAAAAATGAAAAGGAGAGGACTGCAGGGAAAAGGGGAGGGGAAAGGAGAGAAGTATGGAAAAAAAGGGCATCAAATTACTAATAAAATAAGACAAGAAAAATGAAAAGGAGAGGACTGCAGGGAAAAGGGGAGGGGAAAGGAGAGAAGTGTGGAGGAGAAAAAAAGAGGAAGAAAGAAAGAAAGAAAGAAAGAAAGAAAGAAAGAAAGAAAGAGAGAGCGGAAGAGAGAGAGAGAGTAGAGAGAGAGAGCGGAAGAGAGAGAGAGAGTATGAGAGAGAGAGCAGAAGAGAGAGAGAGAGTATGAGAGAGAGAGCGGAAGAGAGAGAGAGAGAGTATGAGAGAGAGAGCGGGAAGAGATAGAGAGAGAGAGTATGAGAGAGAGAGCGGAAGAGATAGAGAGAGAGAGTATGAGAGAGAGAGCGGAAGAGATAGAGAGAGAGAGTATGAGAGAGAGAGCGGAAGAGATAGAGAGAGAGAGTATGAGAGAGAGAGCGGAAGAGATAGAGAGAGAGAGTATGAGAGAGAGAGCGGAAGAGATAGAGAGAGAGAGTATGAGAGAGAGAGCGGAAGAGATAGAGAGAGAGTATGAGAGAGAGAGCGGAAGAGATAGAGAGAGAGAGGATGAGAGAGAGAGCGGAAGAGATAGAGAGAGAGAGAGAGAGAGAGAGAGAGAGAGAGAGAGAGAGAGAGAGAGAGAGAGAGAGAGAGAGAGAGAGAGAGAGAGAGAGAGAGAGAGAGAGAGAGAGAGAGAGAGAGAGAGAGAGAGAGAGAGAGAGAGAGAGAGAGAGAGAGAGAGAAGAGAGAGAGAGAGAGAGAGAGAGAGAGAGAGAGAGAGAGAGAGAGAGAGAGAGAGAGAGAGAGAGAGAGAGAGAGAGAGAGAGAGAGGAGAGAGAGAGAGAGAGAGAGAGAGAGAGAGAGAGAGAGAGAGAGAGAGAGAGAGAGAGAGAGAGAGAGAGAGAGAGAGAGAGAGAGAGAGGAGAGAGAGAGAGAGAGAGAGAGAGAGAGAGAGAGAGAGAGAGAGAGAGAGAGAGAGAGAGAGAGAGAGAGAGAGAGAGAGAGAGAGAGAGAGAGAGAGAGAGAGAGAGCGGAAGAGAGAGAGAGAGAGAGAGCGGAAGAGAGAGAGAGAGAGAGAGAGCGGAAGAGAGAGAGAGAGAGAGAGAGCGGAAGAGAGAGAGAGAGAGAGAGAGAGAGAGAGAGAGAGAGAGAGAGAGAGAGAGAGAG